AAAAAAAAAAAAAAAAAAATCACATTAAACCAAGGAATTTACTGTAAATATACAGAAAAAATAAAATTCCGAGTTGGTTCGTATATATCACATTAAACTAGAAAATATGTAGTAAATATACATGAAAAAACATGATATGCTATAACACAAAAGAATAAGTAAAAAAAATATTTGAACACAAAAATTACCAGGTATAATTTGTATATTTTACGGGCTTATATCATTAAGATATAATGATATTCCATCGTGTTTCTTTCTGTATCGTTAAAAGATGATAATGTTTGAAATTCAATATATATATATATATATATATATATTTCATCTTTGAATTGAACAACATCCTAGATATTAGGATATACACTTACCATATATTTTTTACTTTTTCTTTTAATGCCAAAACTAAATCCCATTATGTCCGCAAATTAAGGAAGGAGGATCTTTTTAATGTTGGTAACCGATGTTGCATTATCACAAATAAAAGTCATGCATTTGGTAAGGATGCAATAGAAAATTATCTCTTCGTATGATTGCAATTAAGCTCAATTCGCTAAGTAAATGTGAAATTTACCCGATTAAAATCCATTCAAAACGTTGTCTAAAAAATAAAATGACATTTTCATAAACTATAACAATTCATTTTTTTTTTATATTATTAAATTTAAAATTTATTTATTTTTAATATAATCAAATTTACATTTCTAGTTAAGAGTGTTAGTTTAACTTTAACCACAAACCCTCTAATTTGGGTAAAGTAATTACCAAGTTCTCATGGAGTGGGTTGTGAAACTATGAATGTAGATGGGTCACACTGCCATTCTTTAATATTGTTCTTCGAACATTTGAAAGAAGATAAAAAAAAAAAAAAAAGGGATTGAGCTGCGGAGGATAGCAGAAAACAGAACCCCATTCTTTAATTTTGCTTATCGTCCCAAATAATTATCTTTTTTATTTGCATTTTTGGCCTCTCAAATCTCAGCTCTTGTATCTGTATGAATGGATGTTGGAGTAAGATTTCGAAGGTGATCTGTTTCCATCTCTTGTTTTAGCGTCTCGCAATTATTGCAATTTTGTCACTCTTCCGTTTCTTGCAAGTTCTTCTTTTCTGGGTAAAGATTGCTTTTTTATTTTTGGAATGTGTGTGTGTGTTTGTGTGTTTGTGTGTGTGTGTGTGTGTGTGTGTGTGTGTGTGTGTGTTGGAATTCCATTGTTCAGTGTGTGGTAGAAGAAGAGTTTGAAGGAGATATTGTTGTTCTCAAAATGAGGATGCAATCATATTTCTAGTATTTTTGTTTTTTTGGTTCATTTTTTACGGTTTCTTCGATTGTTTGGGGTGGTGTTAATATGCTTGATAATGTAATTGAGATGCATAAAAGTGCTATTCAGGTTACATGGTTACATTTTCTTATGATATTTTTTTTCCATCTTTTTTATGGATAGGCGAATCACTAGATAAATCAAGTGTATCTGTTTCATGAAGGAAGACATGTTGACATCATCTGATATATTGTGGAGACCCGGAGTTCAATTTCTTATGCTGGCACATTCCCCGAGCCAAAGATATAAGAAACAGACAACAAAGCTTAGGTCTCATGGTAGAAGAAGACCGGTTGCTCACCTATATCAATCATTGATGGATAATAGAGATTATAGGTTCTTTATTCCACCTTTGCTAAGAGGTATGGGCTCGTATTTCTTGTTACCTGTTTGTGCAAAGTTGTACTTAAATGTGTTTCTGAACACTCAAATGCTTCCAGTGGTTTTGCAGATGAACGGGGGACTGTCAAAAGCCATCCGAGTGGTTCTTTGGCTTCCAGGTTTTTCTGTGGTGCTCGTAATGCTAGGAAGAAATCAAATTTGGGTGAAACTTTTTCCACGCAGGAGCAACTTATCGAGGAGCCTTGGCTATCACAGCCATCCATTGGCATGCAGCGGGCTGTAAATAGTTATACTGATATTGATAATGGCGTGGAGAAATCAAAATTCTTGAATCAATCCAGTCTTAGTGAGGATTTCAGCCATAAGTTGGATTATGATGAGAAAGGAAGTAACAGTTCTGTATCAGAAAATACGTTTTTAATGAATTATCTTGTCGAGGAGCCTTGGATATTTGATTCCTTTACAGTTACTTCTGAAGGAGAGATAGTTTCGAGTGCCTTCAGTAATGAGTCTGGTGAAGATAAGGTCACCCTGTCAGTATTTGATGAGCAGCAAAAGTCCATACCTGAGAACCTGCTGCATGAGAAAAAAAGCAACATGACATCAAAGGACTCTGTCTCCACTGTTATATTGATAAATTCTTCTGTATGTACCGTTCAAAGAATTGCCATTCTAGAAAATAATCAGCTGGTCGAACTGTTATTGGAGCCTGTAGAAACCAAAGTGCAGTGTGGTGATGTTTATTTAGGAGTTGTAACTCAGCTAGCTCCAAACATGGGAGGTGCATTTGTAAATATTGGCATCCCAAGGGCATGTTTCATGGATATAAAGTTCTACATGAAACCATTTATATTACCTTTCTCTCATAGTCCCATGAAGGAAAAAGAGGTACGTGGCCCCATGTCTGATAAATCTGGGGTGGAGGTGGATTTTCCCAAGACTGGGGCCTTCTTCAGTGGAGTTGAAGAATCAGACGAGGTGGAGTGTGACCAAAGTGAAGACGAGTTTGAAGGTGAGGAGAACCATTTTCATTGTGATGATGTTTTGGACAGTATCAATGAAAATGTTAATGGTGGCCTTGTTAGAGATGGAAGTGAGGTTGATTTACAGAAGTCCTTGGAGCAGCTTAATGGGGATGTGGAGCAGCTGGGGGCTAGAACTGGAGACCTGGATGCAAACAGTGAGGTTTTAGTCACCAGAAAAACTAAGTGGGCTACAGTTAAAAAGGGCTCTAAGATCATTGTACAAGTTATTAAAGAAGGATTGGGTACAAAAAGCCCCACAGTGACTGCTTATCCAAATCTGTGTAGCAGATTCTGGGTATCTGATATTCTTTGCATCAATTTCTTTCTTTCTGTGATCCCTGATTCTTTTTTTCTTTAATCTATTTTTGAATCTGGTCCATATGTAAGTTTTAGTGGCCTGTCCTTATTGCTCCAGGTACTGAGCACCTGCGTCAAGAAAATCGGAGTTTCTAAGAAAATCGGTGGTGCTGAGCGAAAAAGATTACGGACTATAGCAGAAACCTTGCGGCCTCCTGGATTTGGCCTCACTGTAAGGACAGCTGCTTTTGGTCATTCATTAGAGGAATTGCAAAAAGATTTGGAAGGTCTATTATCAACGTGGAAAAATATAGTGGACCATGCAATATCTGCTACTCTTGCTGCCGATGAAGGTATTGATGGTGCTGTTCCTGTTATGTTGCACAAGGCAATGGGCCAAACACTCTCTGTTGTCCAAGATATTTTTAATAAGAAGGTGACTGTCAATAAATTGTTCAAGTAATGCAATATTCATCTTCTATGCGTAGTACATCTTCTGCAGTATTTCAATGTTAATCGAAATATAAATCATGGACTAAGCTGTTTTTTTGGCTATTTTCAGGTGAAGAGCATGGTGGTGGATTCACCACGGACTTATCACGAGGTATGCGGGCCAGTAACTTACAGGCAAAGTTAAATGAATTAGTTCTGTTCTGGATTGTATGCCTTTTATTTAACCTTTTATTTAGATTTACTAATTTTCACTGTAAGTAGAGTTGTATTACTCTTTTATTTTAGGACATAAACATGCATCAGATGCTTAGGATTCTTCCTTTCCTTTTTGTTCCTTTGTTTTCATTTTATGTTCATTATTTGGTGTAGTAAGGGCAAACCATCTTATGGTCATTTCACCAAGCTATATCTTTTATTTTATTGCATCAAGGGGCGGCAGAGATTTGCATTGTGTAGCCTTCAATTTTAGATATTACTTACTTCATATCATGTGAATTTAGTGAGAAAAAGACAAGAGAATTAATTGGCAACTCAGATTGTCATCAAAAGTTAATGATATAACTGTCAAAATGTTAGTGAAAAGGATCTATGTAACAATTTCGGTGGGCAGTTAGAGTTGATTTGAGGAGCTACAAGGCATTTTTACGGACCTTTTAGTGGCTACCTAGTTAGCTTGTTATCTGAAAAGATGATAAAATCGTGTTCCGGTAAACAATCATTTATAGGAAAAGAGAAGGATGGCTGTATTAGAATTCTACCCGAGAATCTGGAAATATTACTAGTGTCCATAGATTTTTCCTTTTCTTGAATACTAAATCTGATTTTGTGACATTTAACTGTTTTGACTTCTAAATACAAGTTAACTTTTTTCATGTTATATATCAGGTTACCAACTATCTTCAGGACATAGATCCCAGTCTTTGTGAAAGAGTTGAGTTATACAGCAAACGGACTCCAATTTTTGATGAGTACAACATTGAGGAAGAAATCAATAATATTCTGAGTAAAAGGTCAGCGGAATGTTCTTCACCTTTTCAACTGTCATCTTGTGATGTACCCAATATACTGAGAATGGGTTCTTAAGAAGTCATATTATATTAGTATTTTAGCTACTTATTTTGTATTAGTTTTATAGTATGAAATGGATTTGGGCGTTTAGTCATTTCATAGTAGGAAATGGGCTTGGGCCTTTTATCATGGTTAGTCGGTTAATAGGTAGTACTTTGTAATAGGTATCTATAAGTAAATGGAGGGTACCAAAAAATGTAACAAGAAAAATATCACATAACATAATATTTTTTCTCTCTAATCCCTTCTCTCTTCTCTCACCTCACGAACTCCTGTCAACTTTCTGCATCTCTCAAGCTTAATATCAAAAATTACATAAAAATGGCAAGAACGTAACTTTTTCCACAATCAGTTCTCTGATCTCCAATCTCCATATAAAGGGTATTTTTTGGTCATTTGGAAATTTGTCCAATTGAAATTCATATTCTTTCTGCCTGACAATAGTTGACATTTTTCCTCTAGGGTTCGTCTGGCTAATGGTGGTTATCTAGTGATCGAACAAACGGAGGCCCTGGTGTCCATTGATGTAAATGGGGGTCAAGGTGTGCTAGGTCAAGGGACTTCACAAGAGAAAGCGGTTCTTAAAGTGAACCTTGCTGCGGCTAAGCAAGTATTTTCCATGCATTTTCTGGCCTTGTTCTGCATCATATTTAGTTTGTAAATGGACCTTTATGTGTGGCACTCCAAACATATATTCTTGATACCTTTGAATTATTGATTTTTATTCACTTTCAGTGATTGAGTATCCTGGATGGATCTTAACAATGCATGTGTAGTACTAGAAAAAAAAATGGTTCTATACATTGAAAACATGGATGAGTTTTGTGAAAAACTCGGATGTGATTGCATAATAGCTAGGGAATAGCCTACATAATTTTGGTGGACATTTACAGATAAGCTATACCATTTATACATGCATTTCTTGAAACATAAGAGGAAAAAATATAACCCCATTTGATTTCTCTATCAAATGAGAGTACTGCTATATAAGTACTCATATTTCCGGAAGAGTTGCTATAGTGAGTTCCGGTTATGAAACAGCAGATTCTTAAAGAGAGAAAAATGTAATCATTATATTGCTATATTTTATTGAATGGCAAAAAAAACCAAAGTGCTTCAGCAGGACATTCACTTTATAAACTGTTCTTGTTTCTTTATATTATTTACTGTCGTCTTCAATAAAAATCATCTTAAAGTTGCTGTTTGCTGCATTTATCACAAGTGAATTGTTAGACTGATCTTTTTTATTCCTTTTAGGAAAATTAACTAAGAGTCGTACCATTTCTCCAGAGAAAAATATGATGGCGTTATTCTATAAATCGATTCACATGACCTCTTTCTTGATTTCAGATTGCCAGAGAATTAAGGCTGAGAGATGTTGGTGGAATAATTGTGGTAGATTTCATTGATATGAGATATGGTGGTAAGTAAAAGGTTGATTGCCTCTTGCTAGTTCGATCAGCTTGCTCAATATACTTTCCAGCTGCTGAATATTTTCATGATCAGTGATTGGCCATATACAAAGACGATGACAAGGAGATACAAAAAAAACTGTGAGAAAAGAAAAAATATGAATTTGGTGCTTGTTTGAGTGTTCTTCCAGAAATGAAGATTGGCCGTAGACATTATGAATTAAAATATCAAGTGACAACCATATTCACTAACAAAGGCAACAGTTACTTATGAATCCATTGAGCACTATGTTTAAAATTGCTCCTTTTCCTTTCTAAATCCCTTTTCTTCAACTCCTAGTCCAATCTTTGCCTGAAGAAACCTTTCGCAAGCTCCACCTTAGAAATAGGCACACATTTAGAGATCAGAGGTACATGAAGAAGCATTTGAGTGAAATGAATGACCTAAATGGAAAAATGTACATGTATGTAATATCATTTTGTCCCCTTTAAGCATTTTTTT